TTTTTTTTTTTTTTTTTTTTTTTTATTATTACCAAGATAGGACCTTAGCTTCCAGATTTAAATATATGTGAGTGACTGTAGGTGGCTGTGTCTCTGGAACGTCCTCTGCAGGATACACTCAGTTTGCCACTGCAAGCAAGATACAAATTCAGAAGTAACCTCTCATCTTTGTAACTATATATTTAGCTCCTCCAAGTATGCAGTACGGTGTCTCAGGCCAATTCAAATACCGTAGCGTGGGTCTTTTTCTGCCCCCACAGTACTCTTTTTAATAGGACTCGGAGGGGAGGAGGATTGAACGCTTCACAAGTAAACATAGCTGGAAGGATGGGAGGTAACTAGCATTCTTCTTCTTCTTAATCATAATTACGAAACATTAGGGATGAAAAATATGGAAGCAGTTGTCTTTGTGTATCTACGTAGCTAAAGCCTCAAGTATTTTTCAACAGGCAAAACAAGAGAGGAGCATTACAAAGCACTGCCACGAGCCAGCAGCAGCAGAGCCGGGCCGGGCGAGGGGCCGGAGGGTCTGGGGCTCGGAGGTGCCGTGCCCTGTGCACCAGCGCGCTGGAGACCTGGAATGGCGCCTGGCAATCGGAGGGACGTGGTGCAACACGCAAGCAAAGCCAACACCCAAACTCAATCGTAATTTTCTGTGTTTTCTGACATATACCATTACAAATGTGGACTACCCTTCAGAGTCACCTATGGAATTGCAATAGCTATGTACCTACTACACTTCTTCATTATTAAAAGTACTTTTCTGATCCATCTGCTTAAAATTTCTCATGTATTAATTTTTTTCTTTTGAATGGCAATTCTGCATTATAACCCCCAAAATAAATCGAATTCTTTCAAAATCCTCCCTAGTAAAGGGTGTATTCTTCCCTAGCACACACACGCGTTATTCCTACTGACGCTAACGGGACCTGTGCACGCATCCCAGGGTGTACCTAACCTGAGTGGCTGTCAAAACGTTTTCAAGATAGAGATTGTATTTAACTCCAGTTTTTCTGATGATCCACCAATGATAGCAAAATTATGCACCTTTCCCAGAAGGCCACACTGCAGAAATGAACTGTACTTAAATAACTATATTTGGTTATCGTTTAGTCACAGACACATCAGAAGTAAAAAAAGGACTTCAAAAATCAAGCTGAATTTGTGATTCCCTAGTTAAAGATGTATTAATTTGTAATCACTGCTATTCTAATGCAGGGCAAGCCCTAATCAAACCAATGGCAAAATTAAAAGCAAGTCTTTAAATCCCTTAAACTGACTTTGCTTTATTCAGTGATGTCTGTGCTAGCAAAGATTTTAGATTTTTTTTTTTTGTGCAATAGGAATGGCCAGTCATAAGAAGTCAGTTATTCTACTGCTACTCACACCCACACAATATTCAAACATATACATAGTGGGCAATCTATAACAGATGCTTGAAAACTTAGGTAAAATTAAATACTTAAAATAGAAGAAGCAGAAATTGAACATAATCAGGAAGATGTGGGCTTTGATTAACAGTTCGAAAACTGAAATATGCGAAATGTGACAGACCTAGCAAATTCTTGAGCACCACAATTGTTGAAAAACTGCTTCAAAATCCATTCCCAAAAATTGAGCACCAGCGATCACCATCTTCCCCTTATTTTACAACAGCTCGCACTAAGATTATGACAAATGCTTTTACTGCAGAAGCTAAGGTAAACTATTCAGAAAATTTTAGAAAAGCTGGGAAAATTAATTTTATTTTGGCAACTGTCCTAAAAAAAGGAAAAAAAAAAGAAGGGGGAAAAAAAAAGAAAAACCCTGCTTCATTCTAATGGATGTGTATTGTTCAATTTAAGTAACAGGTATTAAATCACTTTACAAATACAATATAAATTTGAGGTAACTCCAGGGGAGTTTTCTTAAAAATAATTTCAGTCTTCACCAGTTCTCCCTGTTAAGGTCAGAGTCTCTAAACCAGCATGGCTGAATTGTTTTAGTGCTCTCTGCTGAACACCTGCAAACATCAAACAAAAACTCCTGGTCCTTTACTGGGTTGACAAAAGCCTTTCATGTGAAAAATGCTCCATGGGAATGTCACGGCTGTGGCTCAGGTTACATTCCTTTCTCCCTTGCAGCCCTCACCATTTCTTAACATGGTAAGAAGCCATGTTTGTGAAATTAAAGATTAAAAGGAAATGTGGCTTTACTTTATTTTCATTCACACATTACAAATCACAATAGAGCATCATATATTAGATGAGTAAAAAGCTATTAAGGTGACTTTAAGCATGAAATATTACCACACTTCCTAAAGTACAGTTAGTTTCACTTCACTGCTTGGGTTTACTTTTCTTTGGGGTCCTTTTTTTTTTTTTTTTTTGTCTTTTTTTCTCCCCCCTATAAGAGAAGTTTCGGGTTAATGCAGAGGAATGACATCTGTGGTTCCCCATCTCAGTAAATATAATTTTTAAAAGAGGACCATTAAGAGAAGGTCAGCTCAGACTTCAGAAGGGCATCTGTCCAGGAGGAAGAACAGGCTGCATTTGGATAGCTAAAATTCTGTATTATCAATGTGCATAATTAGAATAATAAACTGTGTTCATATGTTATTAATGGACCTATCCTTAATCCTTCCATATAGTTGCAGAAAACATCTCTTGAAGCAGTTGTCTGGGCGCTATCATATCAAATCTGAATTTCTCAAATGCTGGCTCATTACGACACCGCACACCAAATATTCTTAAGAAGCAAGACTCTCGCACACAGCTAGCTGGCCAGCAAGAGCACAGGGGAACAATAGCCACGCTTCTCCTTCACGCAACTGTATCTTCAGGCCACACATCCACCCTCTCACCGAGTATCAGCGAGGGGCAATTCACCGATACCTACATTCTGACAACTTTTTTGAAATCACTGATCACTCACTACAAAACTCCCTCTCTAATAACCAAGCAACAGATATTTATATCGTAAATTCAAAACGATTTTCCCTTAGAAGAGCGTACCCTGTGCTGCATGCCATTGTGCAAACAATCTACCAACATACAGTATACGTTCCTTTATCAAGCAGGGTACTTCACCCTCCACCATCAGACTGGTGTATTCAAGCATTTACATGTCGTTACAGTGTGGGAGAGTTCAGGTGTTATTTTAAATGGGTTATATCTTAATATTACTAACTTACTTCAGCTCATTAAATTATCTGTGTGTCTAAAATGATGCGTCAAAGTTACTTTGCATTAGCTTTCAGATTTAGAGACAATAAAAAACAATATAACCCCTCGATTTCACTCACTGTTCAGATTTGCTATCTGTGGTATTTCTGATCAAAATGACTTCATAGATGAGGTTTACAATGCATTTATTAAATATAACTACCTAGTCAATTGCTGTTAGACCAAGTGTTTGTTGCTGCATTGGCTGGTATATAAGCATGACAAATTGATTTGTCTGGCACAAACACTTTCCCTTCTCTCCAGTGAAAACAAATATAGTGAATATTATGTATTCGGTTAAATCAGTTATTAAAATTATGTAATTCAGAAAGTGACAAAAAATAGGGTTAAAATCTTTAGCTCGTGAGACGTAAGGCAAATTCTGTTTGGAAAGTTATTCAAACCTAACAGGAAAATTCTCCAAGCCACTATATTCATAATGTAACCAAATTTGTGAAGATAAAACAGAAACATGTTATTATTTTGAAAGCCTGAATAGAGTAAAATTCACAAAATGAGTGCTTAATAATTGTAGGCGGCATTTGATTAGTATCTTAAAAATGTGTATTACAGACTACCTTCAAATTAGGAAGTCCTTCTTCGGAAATAAAAAGTTAATTGACATACTAGTGCATTTAATAAAAATGGCTATACAGAATACACAGAAGAGGTTCCTTTAATTGAGCACAAACTGCAAATACCAGGCATGAAACCATATGCAATGACGTGTTTATATCTAGATATCCACTGGCAGTTTGCAGTGAAGACTTGTCCAAATTTACCATCTGATTTAGAACAGTACTCTGTGTATAACAATACTACGTACAGTGTGTTGGTATGTGTAATTGCCTGTGCTTTTAAAACACTGCAACTCTCTACCCGGAGATGTATTTGTGTCCTGTCCAAAACACCACATCCGCAAGGCAGGGAACCCTCTTAAACGAACTTAATAGAAGAGTAAGGAAATTTCAGATGCGTAAGTATCTTTGCTAGTTTTACTTCTAATTTGTCAGGCATATAAAAGCCTCTATATAAAACTTTAGTTGCCAGACAATTATTGTACACATATGTTCTACCGCAAAGAGCTCTGATATTTCTTTTGTCGTCAAACAGGACTCCTGCTTTTACAGAACGCAGAAGTTGCCCATATAGTACTAACTACAGCCAAATAAACAAACATACAAACAAACAAATCCTCCAGTTAAATTTCAGGGACTCTTCAAAAGGAGTCAAATATTTAGAAAGAAAATGCCCTGTCTTCCACCAGGAAAAGAAACGAGCCTGAAGATTTTAATTCACCGAAAAATATTCCATCAGCCAACAGTGATCTCTAATACTAAAGGGTTCTTTTCCCGGAAGAGATTGGTGTTTATACTCGGATACTTGCTTATTTATTTATTTAATTTAAGCAGCCTTCATTTCTTATTCACAAAATTAATTCTCACGCAAGATGTTTTGATTATCATTTCTGACATACAAAAGATAGCATCTGAAATTGTGAATAAAAATCTCCAATGCTCAATTTAAAAGAGATTTAAACCAGCTCACCTTGAACAATTGCACAGAGGAGAAGTTTAGGTTTTTTTTAAAAATCATAAATGTATGGAAATACTGTGAAAATGTCCCAGTCTTGTGGAAATAATAACAATAATAATAGCCAGCGCTTAGGAATAATTCCGCTCAAATCTGAACGAATCTGCTCCTCAGAAGAGATTAACACAACCACAACAAAGGTAATGCCTATGGATAAATAGCTAACAACATTTTAACTACATACGAAATGAAAATTTTACATACTTGAGCCAGTAAAATGTCCACTTGCCAAGGAAGTTGGTCCATTTTTCCCACTGCTCACAGGAGGTGAAAACATCTAAAAAAAACAAAGAGGCATTACTACTGGAAAACAAGAGATTCCCGAGTCCACTGTTAGTCAAAAGTTCCTTCCACATTCGCTGTGAACTACGTTAATAGTTTGTCTACCACGAAACATCATCCCCCACAGACCTGAAAACAAGTCAATATTTCTTACAGCCCCCACCAGCCCCTCACCACCATCATCACGTTTTTATTAGGCTCATTAGCTCCCCAAACAATATTCGCTTCCCGAAGAGTTTGAGCAACCCCAGTCCCCAGCAGCGTTATCCAGGCTGGGAAGCGGGGCTCGCTCCCCTCTCCAACTCTCACGCTGACAAAGGCGAAAAAAAGTTTATTTTGTTGAAACCTTGGCCATAAATGTAGCAATGTCCATTTCCATCCCGCTTTAGGATTTGCCTGTCATATGTGAACCCAAATAATAATAATGCAAAGTGCCACCTGCCCTAAATTCTCATTTCGTCTCTAACACGAGAGCAATTTGAAGCAAGGCTCTCTCCCTCTCTCCCTCTCCCCCTCTCTCTCCCTCTCTCTCGCTCCCTCTCTCTCTCCCTAGCATTTATTTCGACCCTAATTGGTTTCTCTCTTCTTCGACGTGTCTAGTGGATAATACGCACCTTCCCTGAGTCAGAGCCTGCAAAAAGCGAAGGAACAAATGGAAAAAGTGCAACAAGCAAAGAGGGGGCTGCAAAGCTGCCTCAGGCTACGTTTCCTGGCCAAACTTCCCCAAGCCATTCCTCCAAAGCAAAGTCTGGAGCAGCAGCAGCAGCACCAGCCTGAAGCAGCCTCATTTACACGGGGGGGGGGGGGGGGGGGAGCGGGCTCTGT